CCTCCCTCCCTCCCTTCCTTCCTTCCTTCATTCCTTCCTCCCTTCCTTCCTTCCCCCCTCCCTCCCTCCCTCCCTTCTTCTTTCCTCCCTTCTTTCCCCAGGTTGTTTCTGTAAAGAGTTTCATTGCAATGACAGGGACAGAACTGGAAGTTTGGAGATTAGTGATGAAGAGGATCAAAATAGGGCTCAGGGGAAATGATTCCAAAATAAAGCAACAAATAGGTTAGAGCCATGATTCTTTCCGTAGTCACCATGTGACTGATTTCGGCTAGGGGAGCAAGGCAAATATTGGGCAAGCAAAGGCTTAAGGAAAAGCTTCATTGGAGCTTGTTCTATCCTTCTCCTTCCATAAAGTCTGTCCACTACCATCTGAACAAGCCCAGGCAAACATATTGGAAGACAATGGGCTATTTGTAGAAAGGCCTTAGTGGTCAAGACAAACAGAAAGCCGAGCGTAACCCATAACCCGCTGACCAGCTTGGAAGAAAACACCAGTTATATCCCATAGAATCCTTCTGATGTGCTAAGTCACTGTATCTTAAGGTGCTTTTTTTTGCAGCAGCAGCAGCAAAAGCTAACCAAAGGTCCAAAGAGGAGTACATCCAGCAGGGGCCCTGGGGGAGGTGACAGTCATGTAGAGAAATGTCTGGGAAGAGTGTGGCCAGGTGTGAAAGCCTGCATCTCATGCTAAATAATTTGTAGAGGGAGACAATGGTCACTGGGATCCAGGAAGAAGAAAATACCACTACTTAAGTCCAGTAGGAAAATTAAAGATGAAACCAAAGCATGGATGATACCTTTAGAAGTTTATGGGATAAAATGGGGGGATGAAAGAATGAGTTAGGATGAGTCATCAGAAATAAACAAGAAAGAGCCAGACATGCTTTGTTGGTGGGGTGGCTAACAAATTAACTAGGTGCTTAGTGGACATACTGAGTGGGAATCTATGAGGTATGGTCCTAGAGACCCTGGCATTAACAAACTACTCCAAGAGATTTGCAGTGATTAGCTCCATACATTCGTGGTACTGGTAGACAAACTTAGTCGAGTAATTAAAGTACCTGGTAGGCAATGGGTGCACAGTCAGCTCCAACGTAATCAAGGACTCTCAGATTAGGCGCTCATGAAAATCCTGTAGGGGGAGGGTCTGGAGAAATGGCTCAGGGGTTAAAGGCATTAGCTGCTCTTACACAGGATCCAAGTTGGGGTCCCTGATCCCACATGGAAATTAGGGTTCAAAGAAACAAACAACAGATGAATAAACAACCCCCCCAAAAAAACAAAGCAACAACAAAACAAGATAGACAGCATCTGAGGGACAATGCCTGAAGTTAACTTCTGGCCTACACATGTGTGCGAGTGTACGCTCACATACAAGTGCATCCACATAAACCCATGTGCCCATGCACATATACCATACTAGTAATTTGCGGGGATGGGGGGACCTGAATTTCTGGGAGTGGGTTCTAGGTATTATAAATGCTCCCCAGATGATTGAATTACAGAGTGGGAAATATTGGAAGAGATGATACAATTCTTAAACCAAGAATCCACCACATTTCTGAGAAATGAGAAATAAATGCAGAAACTCTCAGAATGTCATTTTCATATATTTAGTGATTGATCTAAACTGCTATTAACCTCAAAGATCATGTTAGGACTCGGTGACTAATGGCTATTTCTGAGTCAAAAATGAAATAGCATTTATTTTCATGATGTAATAAAAGTCAAGTGAGTATTAACTCAGACCCCATGAATCAGCAACTATGGTCATTTGAACAGAGCCCAAGTCAAGCTATCTATGGAAATAGATGTGAAGTTGTCACACAAGATTTTGAGATTTGGGGTAGAAAATTTTAAACTACTTAAAGAAAAAATAAAATGCTGGAGAGAGGTCAGTCTGCTAATTAAATGAGTAGTTCCAGCCTCATGTTTGAGACAGTAAGGCATGATAGGGAACTGTGACAAATTGATTTGGTGGGGGAGGGGGACCTTTGTGACAGCCAGTTCCCCCCCCCAAAACTGAAGGCTAATTAGCTCATAGGTTGCCGATTTATGGGCCTCTGAGTCACACTAGAAGCTATTATAATAGATGTATAAATGTACTACAGAGTTACAGAGGAGGGGCCAGAAAGAGTTTTCCAGAAGGGATAATCATGGAACCATTTTAAAGGCTAGAGGTGTTTTTATCTTCCAATTCAGTTTTAAAGCATGTTTCATTCTGTGATTATTTCACACATGAACAAAGAAAAAGGATAATAGGAATACCTGAAGCTCTTTATGAAGATGCTAAATGTTAACAACTAGCATCACTCCTATCAAATTTTCTATGATGTAGTAGTGTTATCTAATCTCTATACTTTATTTAAATATCACCGGTTGGTAAAGCCCTTACATCTGAAGACATAGGTTCAATGCCTACTACTGCCCCAAACCTAAACCAACCAACCAAAATCCAGATAACACCAATTGTCCTGTCCCGTGATGTTCTTTCTGTTCAAAGACCCACGTCATGAAAACTGTCCTGCTAAGTTGCCTTTAATGTACAATAGTCATTTGTTTTGTGATTTGGGACATTGACATTTATTTATTTATTTATTTATTTATTTTTGGTTTTTTGAGACAGGGTTTCTCAGTGTAGCTTTGCGTCTTTCCTAGAACTCACTTGGTAGCCCAGGCTGGCCCCAAACTCACAGAGATCCGCCTGCCTCTGCCTCCTGAGTGCTGGGATTAAAGGCGTGCGCCACCACCGCCCAGCTGACCTTGACATTTTTAAGGAGTATTGCTCACTTATTTTGTAGAGTGGTCCTTAGCCTGAGTTTGTCTGATGGCTTGTGATTTAAGATCAAGTTATAAATTTTAGGGACAGTAGTGAGGGGTGATACCCCATCTATCCTAGTGCCTTATTGCCAAGGATATGTGATGGCACGTTAACTTTCATTGTTCTGGGAATGTTGATCACTAAAGGGCAGTGTCTGCCATGTTTCTCTATTGTATATAATGTTGGTTTTCCTTTGCTACAGTTATTGCACTGGTAGGTAGGTATTTTGACTGGGAGCTGTTTCTTTGTCCATTGACCTCTACAGTCACGTGTGGAATTTCCTTTTAACTTGACTGCATAGTGTGAACATCTACTTTTCTGTGAGTAGGACTTGGAAGGACTCGAAGTTTCTTAGAGCCTGCAACTCATAGACTGGTTATGTCAGAGTCATTTATCTAGTATCTATTTGAAAGAAAATGGCCCCCCAAGATAGTGGCCCTATTAGGAGGTGTGGCTCTATTGGGGTAGGTGTGGCCTTGTCGGAGGAAGTGTGTCACTGTGGGGGTGGGCTTTGAGATCTCCTATGCTCAAGCTATGCCCAGGGTGACACAGACTCCTGCTGCTGCCTATGGATCAAGAGGTAGAACTCTTAACTCCTTCTCCAGCACAGTGTCTGCATGTCACCTGCCATGATGATGATGGACTAAACCTTTGAAACTCTAAGCCAGCCCCAATTAAATGTTTTCCTTTATAAGAGTTGCTGTGGTCATGGTGTCTCTTCACAGCAATGGAAACCCTAACTAAGACATCTAGCAAGAGAGATCCATTATAGACTTGCTCATCACTAGTGACTAGTCACTCTTCCAGGATAGGAACCACAGACACAGCCTCTCTCTGATCATTAACCACAGGGGTGAAATAGTGTGGATTAAAACCACCAGTGACGAGACAGCCTGACTAGCTGGTGTTTGAGAATAGTTGGGATCTAATGGAGAGAAGGAGACTGTTAGAAATGGGGGTGTGTATTCTGGTAGATAGTGGGGTGTCAAGATGATCTACTGTCTCACAACAGGCTCTGTCATATGATCACCTCAGAAAGTCTCAGTGTGATGGCGACGGCTTTGACATCAACCTCTGTTTCTGGGAAGTTCTGACATCATCTGGAGAAGAGTGAGTTTCTCTCTGACCTGATGTTTCCTCACAGCTGCCTCGTTTGCTTTGTCGTATGGAGACTGCTTAGTGGGAAATATTAGGGAATGGCTGCAGGAATTCGGTTTGTTTTCTGCCCAAATCTTAGTTTCTGGCTTTACTCGTCTAAGCCTTACCTTGGCAATGGGAGATTTGGTCTTTGCTGACTTCTAGAATGTAGTCATTTTAGCTTGCAGTCCATGCCAGAGAAGGGTCTCCCTGAGTAAAGCTGTACATTCTTCCTGCTTTGCTTTTAGGTGGCTACACCATTTTGAAGTTTTATCTTTATTTTAGGATTTTCTCATAATCTACAGTCCTGAATTTCTCATATCCTTTTCCCTGATGGACCTTGTGGGCTCACAGTCTGAATCTCAATGGGTCACTGACCTCTGTTCAGACAAGTCCACATACTGAGGTTTGCATTTAAATAGCATCCCACTCCTGGAACCAGATCCTGTGTCAGCTAGAGAGTTTGATATCTACAATAAACAGAAGGCCTGGATCAAATCAGCTTCAGCAATAAAGAAATACGTTCACTTTTATAACTGAAGTCAGAGATGGGGCAAGACTCAAGAGTCTGCTGACTTCGATGTGGGGTTCATTCATCTGCATCCTTCCCAATATGTTAATTCAATCACAAGCTCACTCCATCCCATTGGCAAAATGGCTCTGAAAGTCCCCTTAACATCACCACTCTCTAGTTCTGTGAGGAAAAGCAGAAAAATAATCTTCTGATTAAAAGCATTGCACGCTAGAGTCTGGTGGGACTGCCTCGGTTTCTTGAGCATGGAAGATAAATGGGAAGTTGAACATCGTGGATTAAACCAACCAGGGCAGCCCTACTAGTGCTGTTTAAGAATAGTGGGAATCTAGTTGAGAAGAGGAGACTGTTAGAAACAGGAAAGGATACTCCAGTTGGTAGCTAGTGTTCTTCGTGAACTGTTGTTATGCCATCAGGCTTTCAAAATTGGATTTATATCATTTCACAAAGTGATGGCATTAGAGGCTGGATGAGGACTCAGCAGGGAAGGTCCTTCCTGTGCAAGGATGGGGACCCAAGTTCAGATCCCTACACCCTCACAAAAGCTGTGCGTGGTGTGCACATCTGTAGCCTTAGTGCTAGGGAGCAGAGATGGCATGTCCCAGGAACTTGCTGGCCAGCAAGGCCAGCATAAACTGTGAGCTCCAAGTTCACTTAGAGGACCACTCTAAAACAATAAGGTAGAGAGTAATAAGGGACACCCAACATCAACCTCTGGCCTCCACATGTGCATGCACAGGCAAGTGTACACTCATGCTCATGGATGCACATACACAACCACATACACGGAACACATACAATAAGCTACATGGCAGAAAAAAGAACATAATTGACACTAATCTGTAGCAGGAGTCTTAAAAGTTCTTATTAATAAAATCAAACCTGAGGCCAGTTATTGGGGTGAAATGCTGGATGGTCAGAGAATCAGAACAAGCCACAGCTACCTCACCTCACCTCACCGGATCCTCAGCTGGTCTTGTTTCCTCAGACTGGAGGCCTCTGAGTCCTCATCCAGAATGGGTCTCAGCTGAACTGCTGCTCAAAAGCCTGAATGCTTAATCAGGCCAAATGCTTAACCAGGCCAAATGCTTCTAGTTTCTGGTCCTCACGCCTTATATACCTTTCTGCTTTCTACCACCACTCCCTGGGATTAAAGGCTTGTTTTCTGGAATTAAAGGCATGAGTCACCATGCCTGTCTGTATCCTTGAACACGTGGATTTCTGCCTCTGGAATGCAAGGATTAAAGGCGTGTGCTGCCACTGCCTATCCTCTATGTTTAATATTGTGGCTGTTCTGTCTCTGACCCCAGATAAGTTTATTAGCATGCACAATATTTGGGGGAATACAATACCACACTAATCTGTACATTAAATGATCTTACTTACTGTCTCTTTGAAGAATCTAACAAGAACTCTGGATGCTATCAATTTTGCTTGTAGTATGATGCTTAGCATTCAATGTTTCCTTTATGAATGAAAAAATAATGCATTGTGTTTATCTTGAATCTCTGAGGCCCAGAAGCACAGTGTCTCAAACCGCCAAGGCATGAGTACTTCATTTGAGATGTTTGGCCCTAAAGCTTCCCAGCTGGTAAGTGAATAGCTAAAACCTGGACTCAGATTTGCTGACTCTACAAATGCATTTCCACTGACTCTGAGCTGCTCTGATGTGTTAAAATAAGTTCTCAGATCCTTAGCACAGCTGTGTTCAGGATACACACAGGAAATACATAAAAGTTCTGACAGCCAGTCTCCCAAAAGTAATTTGGGAGATCAATCACAGTCTGAAACTGCCTCAAACTGATATTTGATTTACTGACCTGTAGCTATCAAAGCAAGCAAGAATACTGATATAAAGACAGAAGTTATCAAAGCGTTTTTGCCAATAGGATGATCTGAGCCTGTGGACAAAGCAATATATAGAGAAAGAAGCAGGATGAATTCTGCTCACAAGCTGACTCAGAAAGTTGCTTCATCCCTGACTTCAATAATGAAGATGAACATGTTTCTCTACTGGCGCAAAGTTAAAAATCATATCCTGCCATGAAGCTGAAAGACTAGAATTGACCTAGAGTAGTCTCTCATTTTGCTATGACAATGATATCAAGCACACTACAATTTTGCTTACTGTGTTGCCTTTATTGACAATAACCCCTCTTAATCTGATAGTTCAGTGGAGAAACAGAGAGCAATAGAGAAAAAACTCAGCCTTAACTGACTGTCCAATGCAAGTGAGGAATTTCATTCACCCAGTCATACATTTTCATATGTATCTACTCACTCAATATTTATTGGCTAACTTCAGTGTGGTGCCCGTCATGGTAGTTGCTAGGTATATAGCATTTAGCACGCTAAGGAGACACCCATGTTTCAGCTAAGATAAAGATCAGGAGTCCCAAATACCTGAGCTCAAATGCTAGTTTTGTTACAGCCTTGAGATGCTGAGCATACATGGTCAATCCACTCACCTATGTCTTATTTTTTTAATCTCATGGAATTGCATATGCAGTTGCTTCATGTGGCTTGTGAGATAATATGTCGTTGCACTTGCTACATCTAAAATAGTTCCTGACACTTAGCTCCTGTGATTTGTGTTACCAGCTGGTCTTTAACCTCAAAGAACTTACGATAAAGTAGAGCAAACAGAAACAAGACACTTAATTTTCCCAAAAATGCACTGAGATAAGTGTTACTTTCTCCAATTTTGCATGCAAGGAAAATGATGTTCTCAATAGTTCATTCAAGGCCTTAGTTAATAAGCAAATGGTCCAGAATTAAAAATTACCATGATGCTGAGTCTGAAGCCCATATTCTCAACAACTTTCTGGATGAGAAATTGAGAGATGGGGCTTCTAGTCTTCATTTTAGACCAAATACAAAAGCCCTGGAGAGCTTTTGTAGAGTACCAGACACACAGAACCACATTTTAATTTGCTTAAATCAGGATGTCAGAAGTAAGTTCGAAATCTCCCCAAGATTTGAATGGGCACTGATCTCAAGACTTTCCCAGCAGAAGCAGTCTGATTCCTCCATACAAGACAGCAATCATCAAAATGAGACTCTTCTGATAGAAGCAGTAACATTCCAGAACTTTTCTCTACTGTGGTTCCATGGTCTGGTCACCTCTATGTAAAGTAGGAAACAGGCCAATGTAAAAAGTGCTACCTTTGCTGAAAGTTATTGCTGTGGGATTATAAGATACCCATAAGTACTGATAGAGCATCCTCAGCACTGAGTGGGTGGATGTGAAAGAGAATGGTGGGAATCCACTCTCCCCCATCCATGTTGGACTGACAAACTAAACATCATCCTTCCTTCACACATGGAGGAAGGAGCAGCTTGGGAAATGTCCCAAACAAATGCAGCTGTTCTCTGTTTCTGGAGAGGATGCCAATAACATTTTGTTCCTTGGGGTTCCCAAGAATGAAAATGCGTGCATAGCCATAAAAACAAACAAACCCATAGGGATAATTATTATATTAACCAATATGTCATATTGACATTTATTTAAGCTCACTAAATAATGGCATTTATTCTGATCTTTATTCTTTCTTGACTTTCTGTTGAGACCCAACCAAGGGAAGAAGAATAGTTCATCAGCCACAGATGCCTTCTGGGATATGCAACCCCTCTGGGGTTAAGTTGCTGTAGTTCCTTGAACTGAGATCATTTCAGGAATTCATCCTGGAGGCTGGATTATGAAAGTCTACACAGCTGAGGATGGCCCTGAACTTCTTATCCCTCTGCCTCTGCTTCCTGAGTGACAACATTATAGGTATGTACTATGCCCAGTGTATGCGGTGTTGTGGATCAAACCCAAGGCTTTGTGCATGCTAGGAAGCACGCTATCAATTGAGATACATCTCTGTCTCCAGACCCTAAATTCTCAACTTAGTCATTTGAGTAAAATAAAAACAGAGATGTTCCAACATAAACACAGGCATTGGATTCTGGTGATTGTTACTAATGTGGTCTTTACTATTTCACCTCATCTCTGGGGGCCGAGGAGATGCATAAGGCTGGCAGGCAACTACTGACTATGGTGGCAATGATTCTTCCTCATTACTTATCGCCTTCCCCTAACCTCAAGCAGCAGGCAGTGCTATGCTTTCTAGGATCCAGTTTCAGCACAGATCAACCATCCAATATTCAGGAGATGGCAAGACCATGGCTACCCATAAAAATCAGCCAGGAAAGAGCGATCACAAACATAGATGGGTTAGAACATTCTCTAGACCAGCACTGTCCAACAGTAATAGAATATGACCCACATGCATAGCTTAAAAATATTCTAATAATTTTAATAATGTACTTTAATTAGCCCAACATATCCAAACTATAAAAAAAATGAATAATGAGACAGTTCTTTGTTGTTGTCGTTACTGGGTCTTCCAACTCTGGTGTGCACATTATAGTCACAGCATATCGCAGTTTGGCCCACTATAATTCACATGCTCAGTAGCCACTTATGCTTAATTCATACCTTATTAGACAACACAAGCCTGGCTGATCTCAACACAGATGTTAGAGGATGCACTTAATACATACAAATATGTAACACATGAATATCTTTGATGCTTTCTGAGAATTTGGGACTGAACTGGCAGCAAGCAGGGCTCTGATTTAATGTGACAAACAGGACTCCAGTTGGTAAGACAGCAGAATTGTCACTGGGTAACAACTGTCAGAAATTGCAGCTGGCTCTAGGATCACAGTAGTGATCAACAACGATGGAGCCTAGGAGTCTTCTGGATGGACATATTCAAGCAAAGGGAAGCTATCTGTCTATCTAAAACGTTGAGCACGCTGACCCAATGATGAGCTGGGGGCTGCAGGGAGAGCTAGAAGTGGAGAGTATCTAAAGTTTAAAACCAGCATGTACCTGAGCACCTGCTGTGAGTTTCCTCGCCTCCTATGAATGACGGTTGGTACGAAAAATGAGTAAGGTAGAATGCTAAGAATCTACTGGACTTGCATGTAAAAAACAAAAGGGAGATCTTGGGTTTGGTTCCCCAAGGGTCCTCTCTAAATAAGAATTTGAGTTTATATGAAACATGGTCTGAAGAAACAAGGGAATGGAGAATTGAGAGCAGGAAGGCTAAGTCTGGGTGCATAAGTGAGATGCTGTTCTGGACAACCTCCCCTGGGATCCTGCTAGCAACCATGGAGAAAGCACTTCAACTAGGAGCTAGTGAGAGAAGTCCAGGAGGTGGGGTATTTATCCTCCACTGCTTCTCTTTGTGTTAATTCCAAGCACTTCTGGCCTGGCCTGCACTGGAGGTGAGCTCATTCGGGAATGGGCCAGCACCCTGAGAAGAGCGGTGTCTGCTGACTGGCTTCTCACAGCCCTCTCGGGCCTTTGTCTGATTCCTGTAGGCACAGAGTCTGGCAGGGCCGGGTCCTGTCAGATTGATGAGCCCTTAAAGCTCTCTCTGAGTTATTGAAGGTATCCACTGCTGCCCACCTATGCAGATGCTATCTGGAATCCCTTGGGATCCCCCTCTGAGCCCTACCAGTGGGTAGCCCCATCAACCTTTCCCCCACTGAATTTTTACAAGCCTTGTACCTTTCCCAAACTGGGGGGCATTGATTGAACTGTGTCAAGAACTCTCTGACATCTTGGCAATATTGAGATTCTGCAGTTACACAAGTGACAGGTTTAGGGATAGGCAGGCAAGACTTGGATTCATTCTCTCCTCTGATCAACACCTCACACTCCTCCCCTTCCCCTCCCCCATCATGCATGTGACTTGAGTCACACCACGGGAGGAAATAGTGCATACAAAGTAGCCCTCTCTTAGAAACTTCCATCGGTGTTGCCACTCTCCATACGCAGGTAAAGATGGAAGGTTCTCTAGGAGGTTCAAAAGGGTTTCTGTCTTTTTAACTAAACATTTGTCCAGTTGAAAATTCATGGACCTCAACTTTGGGACTTGTGTCTGAAGCACGACTTGATCTGTGGGACATCCTGTGACAGAACTCAGAGGCGGCCACCTCTCCAGGTTGACTTAAGTGCAGCCCTGCTTAGCCATGCTGAGAGCAATCCATTCTCCTCGATCTCTCCCAACATTTGGGTTTAATTTTCATAAATTTAGCTTGCATTACTTTCCCCTGATAATTAAAAGCAATTCCCAAATTGTTTTAGAAGTGGGAAAAGTACTTTTCTTTTGTTTAGGCCTATGAAAAACATAAGCCAGGTGCCACACAGACAATCAATCTCAGGACCGTTCCACCAATATCCTAGTCATTTAACGATGCAGAAATCTTAGCAAAATGGCCATCTGAACACAAGCATTGGGAAACAGCCCTCCCTTCCTCCAATAGTGCTTAGCCACAAGAAACTTGCAATGAATTAAGCTGGATTCCCACACTCAATGATTTCCATTTCCACCCCCGCCTCCCAGGGAGGGGAAGGCAGGGCAATACCATGAGAATATATTTTTAAATGCCAGTGAGACTTCAAATTCAAAGTAATATAAATCTCTCCCTTTCTTTGATGTACGGCACAGAGGTCTATGCTAAAGCCCTTCCCCTGCGCCATTTCTTGTTTTCCCTCGGAGAGTCTGTGTGAATCATCAGAGCTATAAAACTATATGACTGAACACTGATAATTACACGACTTCTCACTGGCAGAGAACAATGGCCTCGGCTCTCAGATGGAGCCCGACTTACTCAGCCATAGATTTTCTGTCAGCCTGCAGTCACAGGGTCTGACGTTCTGTCTCTCTGGAGGACTTGGTATATAGGTCTGGTTACCACCAGGGCTAGGAGGGCAGCTGGCTGGAGCCTTCCCAGAATTCCTGAGCAAACTAGGCTGCTACCGGGACAAGGGAGGCAGCCCTTTCCAGGGCTGCACCCCCAGAGTGCTACAGCCCTCCCGGAGACATGGCCTCTGAGCCAGCGTGGTGGCAGGATGCCCAGCCATGGAAGGGACAAGCCTTCTCTCCTTCTTCTCTCACATGACATCAGTCAGCCCAAGTGCCAAGGCACAGGAGATTGCCTTAATAACTGTGATTTAGTCTTTCCCTCAAAATAAAAATAATGTGCCTTTAAATTACGACATGTCCCCTCAACAATATTTTGCAGTACATTTGCAGAACAGAAGGGTTGGTGTTGAACTTGCTCGGCATCTTCTATCCCGTGATTTGTTCCTGTCATTCAGTGGCTAGAGCCAATCAGGGGTGGGTCCCACTTCCATCATCCTGCTTAAAGACCTGACAACAGGTACTTGCTGGGGATGAGATTTTTCATTGAGTCTCCCAGCCAGCAACTGTCAAGGCCATGTCTGAAAGGCAGCTCTCCTCCCTCACCCTCAGAGAGCACCACAACCTCAAGGATAGGAATGCTCTGTGCCATTTTTTTTTTTTTACGGAATGATTTGTGTATTTATTTGTTTCTTACAAAAGCAATTCATGTTCTTCATAGAAGACCTGGGAAGCACAGAAAACATGAGGAATCAAAGGAAAATCATGCATTTTCTCAGCTAGACAACATTTGCAGGAATACTCTCATATACTTGTCTGAAAAGGGGCTCACATAATGTATACCAGTTTTAATGGCTCTTTTCATCTTCCTAACTATAAAAGTAATACATGCTTATTACAGAAAAGACAGGAAAACCATCATAAAAAAAAAAACCCAAAAGCATCCATCAATCTCACCCAGTAAGAGGTAACTATTATAAAGCAATTTCACTGAATCTGACATTCAAAATCTCAAAGTTGCAAAAACCTCCAAGGCAAGGTCAAGAAAACAATCCTTTGCCATTTTTGCATTTAGAAGCCCGGCTGATTTGACTAGGATAGCTCTTTGTTTCATAAGTATAGGCTAGAGTTTCCAATTAACTTCACAAGAATCTTTTCGGGATCAATACTATGACATTAGTTGGGAATTTACAATGTTCTGAAAGAACCCTGCAATCGAGAGGCCATGAACTGCATTCATTCAGTTTGGGCTCCTCCTTGCCAGGCCAGACCACAAGAATCTGGGCCCACATGAAAATAGTAGAGGGTGGCTTGGCCAGGGATGCTCAAGCCAGCTTTATCTAGGCCAGAGAAGGAAAGGAGCTGACCCTGCGCAGGGGTGTGTCGAGGCTCATTATATCCCTCTGCACCACCCAGATCACACAGGCCAAGTTCCAGAGCAGGTGTTGAAGGCATCGGGGGGAGCAGACAGCTCTCTTTGCTCAGGATTTGATACTAAGTTTCTTTGAAATTATTTTTTTCCCTTAATTTCTAGCATTCTTTAACAATTGATGGTAAGGATGGGAAGATAGCTTGTTTGGTCAAGTGTCTGTCTGTCTTCCAAAGCTGATGCCTAGAACTACAGTTAAAAAAAAATTAATCATTACACTAAGTAACTACCTTAATGATATGGCTGTCCCTATGTGGGTTGGTCACTGTGACCTGATCAGCTAAACAGAAAATACCATGTTTAGAAGGTCAAAGTGTTCTGTTACTACCAGGTCACGAGGTCTTCACCTCAGTATATAAAACAGATGGTGTTTTGGGTCATGGTTCCGAAGAGGCACCTAGACATGTGGAGAGACGCTAAACCAACTAAACCAAACAATCAATAGAGAAAAACATCAGGGGCATTCCCGGTGTGTTCCAACCCATTGCTGTGTCCTGTAATCATTACCAGAGTTTCCCAAAGCCTGCCTTTCAGAATGCTCTGTGGAGATAGAGCGAGTGGTACCGCCATCCACGCAGCTGCCCCTAAGCCAGATCCCTCTGGATGCCTTCTCCATTCTCATTTTTCATATCTACCCAGTTCCCAGGTTATGGTGATATTGTGTTCCCCAAAATATTGTGCACCCTAATAAACTTATCTGGGGTCGGAGAACAGAACAGCCACTAGATATAGAGGCCAGGAAATGGTGGTACTCACACCTTTAATCCTAGCATTCCAGAGGCAGAGATCCTCCTGGATCTCT